CACAACATCCTTTATTATAAAAAAAAAAAAAAAGCATAACATTTGAAAAATAAAATAGTATAGATGAAATACAATTAAGAATAAATCAATGTAATTATGTAAATTCTCTCTATAAGTTTATTTGAATATGCACATAATTAGAGATTATATTAATCATACAAAATTTTAATTTTAATTTTAATTGTAATTTTGTATTCTATAAAAATAATAAATACTTGACCAATGGAAGCTCAAAAATATTATTATATTAAACAATTTAAAATATTTTTATTTTTTCTATTATTTATTTATATTTATAATAACATAATTTTTTGTCCGTGCATCACGCGGATGAATTACTAATTGACTTAATAATCACAAGATTCTAAATTCAACTCTCTATAAAAGTTATCTATTGATTAAAGAAATCAATTATGAACAACCTAAGTTGCTTTACTTTATGATAATTTGCCAACTAAGTTAACATTAACAAGACTGTGATCGTTATCATAAACTAAGGTGATTTTTCTGCCTTTTTTCTCTAATTATTATTTAATTGGCTGGTTAAACTATTCACCGAAAAATTCAATTTGACTTATAAGCTTTGACTGAACGGAAGAAATCAATTCCCTCAATTATTATTATTTAAACTTTAAAAAAAAACAAAAACAAAAACGTTAATTATACACAAAACCCAAAATTATTATACAAAGCATCTATTCCATTTCATATGGTGAAGGCATAACTTTTTAAGCGTAGACAAGTAGAATCTCTAACAAATTATTGGACTTTGGTGTCCAAACCTCAACACGTACACTATCATATATTTTACTAATAACAATAATTCTAGAGGTTTTTTCTTAAAAAAATTATTATCTTAGGTCATTGAATTTTATTTACAAAAAATTAAATTCTTAAACTTTAAAAAGTTACAATTAAAAATATTAAAAATTTAACACAATTAAACTAATAACTTATTAAATTATTATAATTAAGTTAAATAGCCGATAAAATTTGTTGAAGTGCCATTTTAATTTTTTTTTTTTAAATAATAGTCATTGAGAAGACAGAGGGGCATTTGACTTCTTCGATTGTTTGTTTATTTTTTTACTAATTACTTTTAGATAATCGACTATTTAGTTTAATTGCATTAAATCAAAAAATTAATATATTTAATTGTAATTTTTTAAAATTAATGATGTTTAATTACTTTTTTTTTTATTATAAATTTTGATGTCCTATTTAACTATTTCCCTTAAAATATTATTAAACTTTATTTTGATAAAACTTTTCCTCACATATTTCAATAGTGCCATACAATGATTATTATATTTTGCAGACAAACAACGCTCACCACCCTTGCGTTGATACATATATTATATACTAGTTTTTTTACGCACATTGCGCGATTGGGATAATACCCAATATTTTTTTTAAAAATAAGTACTTTAAAGTATATCAAGGTAATATTATATTATAATTGTTCATGCATAGATAATTTAATGTTAAATTTGCGTATTTAAATAGTCAATTCTAAGTTTACAAATGCAAGATAATATAGTCAAGATTGATTATAATTGTCAATAAAATAATTGTATAGGTATGGTTGAAACCAAATACAGGACATAAGGGAGAACAAATAAAAATTAGGGCATAAAATATTAAATATATACTAATATTGAAGAGCTAACTGCTGATTGCCAAACAAAGACATTGCGAGATAGTTTCCCACTTTAATTTGTTGTGTTATTTGAATACTCTTTTTGTCAATAAATCTCCAAAGTAGTTAATATGACTGGCTTAATCATATTTTTTTTATTTTTTAAAACATTTATTATCATTATTATTAAATATATGTATACCTTTAAGTCATTTTACATGTTAATCTAAACAGCTTTTTTCAAATATCTTTTTACCAACCGTTGATATAATTCGCTAATAGAATCCGTTAACGCTAACCGCTAATTGCTGATTGTCAGATAAGGACATTGCGAGATAGTTCTCACTTCAATTTGTTGTATATTTGAATACTCTTTTTGTCAACGAATCCCTCAAGTAGTTAATATGTTTGGCTTTATTAATTATATATATATTTTTTTATTTTTTCATGATATTAATAAAATACTTGGTAAATAAATATATAGCATTATTTTGTATTATAACTTTGATATTTAATTAAAAAATAGTGAATAAAAAAGATAATAGACAATGTAATGAATATAATCAATTGATGAATCTGAATGTAAAGAATTTTTACATTGGAGAAATATAAAGACAATATAACTAATAATATTATTTCTCTTAATTAATTTATTGATAATTAATTTTTTTTAATAAAGACATTGAAGGGACAATGTAACGAATATAATCAATTGATGAATTTGAATGTAAAGAATTTTTATATTGGAAAAAAATAAATACAATATAACTAATGAAATTATTTCCCTTATTTAATTTATTGATTTTTTTTAATAAAGACATTGTAGACACATAATTCTAAATTAAAGAAATGCATATGTATTATTTTTTGTTGTAGCTACTAAATTATTATTTAATTTAATAAGGGTAAAATAGAGTACTAATTATGCCAACTTTGATTGGGATAGAGTTCGAACCTAAGACCTTTCTTATTGAAATCAATGAATAAGTTAAATGTGAATTAACAGAAATTAAGAGAAAAGATAATATTTAACGGAAAAGTTAATGGATAATCATATTCATTAAGGATAAATTAGGAAATCTTAAGGAAAAATTAAAATCTGATCAATCTGAACCATTCATTTAATTAAAAAATTTGACCGCCATTTTTTCTACCCATTATAGGCCTAACTCTCTTGGACTCTTATTATATTAGTATATATATATAGTATATAGTATAGATAGTAGATATGCGTTGAATGATCACATATTAACATTATATGAATACATGTATGTCTAAACTGAATTTATAAAACTATCTTTTTATAATTTTTTTACGCTTATCATCTTATTCAATAATTAATTTTACAAACACCTTAATTTCAAGGGAAAATCAACGATTTGGTCCCTCAATTGTTAGCGAAATATCAATGTAGTCCCTTAATCACGAAATCATCGATTTAGTTCCTGGAAATAACTGTTTTTAGTTGATTTGGCCCCTCCGACCGTTCCCCGTTGAAAATCCGGCGAAGGCTCCGATTAGGCATGGGTAATTTAGTCTTTTCACACCATCTTCTTCATCCTCCTTGACTAAGCTTCACCGGAAAACGTTCGTCGACCGGAAAATGGAGCCAAGTCCATCTATCACGCTCGGCGGGAAATACCTTGTGTTCACTTCCGTTGCGGAGCTGGAATCTGCCGCCATTATTGAAGCTCTCAGACCTAAACTCAAAACCCCTATCTATTCCATCGGCACTGCAATACCTAATTACTTCCCTATCCAAGGCGATGGCGATGAAATTAGCTGCCCAGATTACCTCACCTGGCTTGATGCTCAACCCGCGAATTCTGTGTTGTATATTTCTCATGGAAGCTTTCTCTCACTTTCGGCTGGGCAGTTGGAAGATATCGTCGCCGGCGTCTGTGAAAGCGGAGTTCGTTTCTTCTGGGTGGCGCGTGAAAACACGGAGCGGCTGAGGGAGAGAGGCGGTGAAGCTTAGTCAAGGAGGATGAAGAAGACCAAGAACTCAGAGATGTTATCAGCACAGCTTTTGTCTTGTTCTTTTTGCCTATAATGTTGGATTTGGGATCATTATCGTCTGTGTTGATTAATGGGAGTATGTTCTCCGACATTGTACAACTTATGATTTGATCCAAAACATGTTTGAACGGACCGGGTTCCTGGTCGAACACTCTCACCTGAATTCCTATCTTCTCATCGGCTCTGGCCAGGTATGCTTGATGGTATCTGGTAATCAGTTTCCAGACCGGATTTGTGGGATGAAATAGGTACCGTACCAGGAAATGGAACACGAATTCTATGTTGGGAAACATGTCCCCGACATCTTTCTTGAAGGATTGCATTAGGGAAAGATATGGGATGAAATACTGGTCGGATTTCATACTCAGCCATGGAATTTTCTGCAGAAACTTTTGATCTTCATCTTTGAAGAACAGTGAATCGTAATGATCAATGTCGTATTTCGGATTGAGAAAGATAAATGGACTTGGCTCCATTTTCCGGCCGAGGAACGTTTTCTGGTGAAGCTTAGTCAAGGAGGATGAAGAAGATGGTGTGAAAAGACTAAATTACCCATGCCTAATCGGAGCCTTCGCCGGATTTTCAACGGGGAACGGTCGGAGGGGCCAAATCAACTAAAAACAGTTATTTCCAGGGACTAAATCGATGATTTCGCGATTAAGGGACTACATTGATATTTCGCTAACAATTGAGGGACCAAATCGTTGATTTTCTCTAATTTCAATCATTTAACTTATTAGCTATTAACTTTTTAGCTTTAAGTTATCTTTTCAGTTAAATATGCCAAAAACAACCCAAATTCTATAATTACATTTTAAAAATGTCAACCAAACACTGATTTTAATTCACATTCCTGGGCTCGTTCGGTTCGCGGAAAACATTTTAAGGGAAGTGGAATTGGAATTCCATGGAAAAACAATTACTAGGAAGATGAATTTAATTGTTTGGTTAGATTTGAAATTGTAAGGAATAATGAGTATAAAGACTTATATGCCCCTACAAATTAATAAAAGTAATATAATTAAAAAAGAAAGTAAGGGTAAAATAGACAATCTATTTACTTTTTCTTCCCATCTTCCATGAAAAACAAAATCTTTGGTCCAATCAAAAATTTTATTTTCCTCAAATTTGAGAAATTCATTTTCCAATGAAAAATAAATTTCATGAACCAAACACTAAAATATAACATTTTCCTTCACTTTAAGAAAAATTTCATGAACCAAAAATGAATTTCATGAACCGTATGTTTTATACCAAACCCTCGAGAGCGAAAGTTGATGCTGACGCATGACCAGTTCCAGGAAAGAGCCCCATGTTCTGCCAACCCATTGAGCATGACGCTATTGACACACTTGTCACTTGTGTTATGCATTTTAGTGAGAGAAAAAACAAAAGGATTATCTTTTAGCAAAATTGTGTTTCGCGCTTCCCAGTATTGGTGTATGCTGTACAGAAGTTCAGCTCATTAATGGCGGATTTGTAGTCTTCGGGGTTACTTCTCATCTGGGTTTTGCATAATTTTAATGCACTTGGCTCTGGGAAGCTTCGGATTTCTCCCTGCGTCTTAATTCTACTGTGTTTTAGCTTGGAGGTAACTAAATTGGCCTTGTTTGTATTTCGTTTTTTTTTTTGGCTGCTTTAGCTGAAAGGGATCTGATTCTTTTGGCGTATCTAATTTTGTTTCTTGGTTCAGAGTGGATGGGTAGTTTTCATATTCGTCATTAACGACATTGTTGCTTTGCTTATACTGCTTGAAATTTCTCTTTGATTTGAAGAAACATTTTGTTGGTGTTGTTTGTCGTCTAATGAATGCTGTTCTGCATTTTTTTTTAATAAATATTTTATTTCCATAAAGAGAAGAAGTAGAAAGCAAGTCTCCCTGCTAAAGCTTTGTCCCTCTGGATAAAAAAATATTGATGCTTTGCTACTTGCCATTTGGTTGTCTGGTTATTTTTGGCATCTGAAGCTTTGAATTAGCAATTCTTTGTTCCATTCTTCAAATTCAGACATATATTCATTATTATTAACTTTAAATGTTATTGCTGGGACTCGAATCCGTGTTTCTGTCGCTCTGATCTGATACCACTTTTAGACCGAGCGCTTACCACTCACCTAAAAAACTATAGCTAGTAGCGAAGGTTCAACTTTATTTCTTTGTACCGCCACACATTTTCGAGACGCTGGGTGCTGGACTTGGCATATTAAGCCCTTTACCGGCCTCTGCCCAACAATCCTCCAACCAGGTTGCTAGACTTCGCCTTTACCGGCCATATGTTACCTTCATTCCTTCATTGCCACATGTTTTCTTTTCCCCTTTGTATTTGCAGTTAAATAAAGAAGCAGAAAATAGGGTTTGTTTATGCAACTCTGACAGTTCTTCATTTGACTCAATTCAGCTAGTGGTGAAGCTCTGGGGTTCAATAATCAATGCACTTCCCAGCTGTATTGTTACTCTTTTTGGCACTTTTTCCCACAGCATTAACACAAACTATCGAACATGCTGAACTTCTAATTGAAACAACTGCAAGGATTTCGGATACGGATGCTAATTATATATGTGCTACCATTGATTGGTGGCCTCACGAGAAGTGTAACTACAACCAATGCCCTTGGGAGTCATCTTCTGTGTTAAACTTGGTAAGGATCCAAATGATAATTATGTCCATAGAGATCATCAGCATTCTTATACACCTCAGCTCAATTTTTTGCAGTTAAATTTTTTTTCACATTTCTTAATTGTGTTTTGATCTTTTCAGGATTTATCTCACCCCTTTTTTGCCAAGGCTATTCAAGGTTTGTATCGATTCGTTAATGCTAATGCTCCTTCCATGTTTTAAACTAGTCCTGCAAAGCACGTTTTCCAATTTCATATTGTATCTCACCTTCAAGTTAATTACTATGCTTTATTTTGTTTTAATTAATTAATTTTGGAAACATTCTCCTCTGCGGATGTGTATCTCTTTTTGACCATTGCAGCTTTTGAGCATTTGAGATTGCGGCTCGGGGGTTCATTGCAAGACCAAGTTCTTTATGATGTGGGCAATCTGAAGACTCCCTGCCATCCATTTAGAAAGCAGAAGGACGGGCTGTTTGGATTTTCTAATGGATGCCTACCTATGGATAGGTGGGATAAGCTAAACAGCTTTTTCAAGAGGACGGGGTAATGTATACCTTTTCACAATCCTTTTCTGTCCCCCCCCACTTTGTTTCTAATTGTTAAGAGTCCCACATTGATAAATAAGAGAGAGCATATGGGATTATAAGAAATAAGTTAGACTAGCTAACAATCTTTTAGTGTGGTAAATCTTAGCCCATTTGTTCTTGCTTCATGGATCGAATACTTTCCAGAAAAATTTGTTAATACATCAAGTGAATTTCGGGACCTTTGCATTTCATCCAAAAGAATTCCTTGTTTTTTAAACTTTCCATTCTAGTTATTCAAAGACTTTGGTCGATCTCTTTTCTTTTTGTTTCACTTCCCTAAAAGGATAGCAAGTTTATGTTGTGGTTGAGCTTTTTGACAGTCTGCCATGGTTGAGATCCTCTGCTTTGTCATTAGGTACAAACTCATTTCATAATTATGATAATTTCTTGTCAAAAAATAATTGTTTCAGAGGACTTGTTACATTCGGTTTGAATGCATTACACGGGAGACAGAAGATAAAAAAGCAATGGAGAGGAAACTGGCAATCCAGCAATGCCCATGATTTTATTAAGTACACTATTTCCAAGGGTTACCAGATAGACTCATGGGAATTTGGTAGAGTACTTGAAATCTATTTATTTATTTTTTGAAACACTCATGATTCTTTACAAGGTAGTATATGTTCAATACTTTCTCAATCTTTTTTTCAGCTCAAAGAATCAATGCCCCCACCACCGGGGACTCGAAATCTATTTGTTCCTGAAACTTGTGCAAATGTCCCCTTCTATAAGTGCTATACAATACCGACTTTGGATCACTATTTCCTTTTGCTGTTGCAGGCAATGAGCTGTGTGGTACAGGTGTAGGTGCAAGTGTTGATGCCGAACTATATGCAAAAGATGTGATCAGACTAAAATCTCTCATAGGTCAACTGTATAAAGACGTCGACCCAAAGCCTCTTCTATTGGCACCTGGAGGGTTTTACGATAAGGTGTGGTTTGAGAAGTTTCTTGATGTTTCAGGGCCAACCACTGTCAATGCTTTGACACATCATATATACAATCTAGGACCAGGTAAGTTAATAAAACGGGGAAAATGCAATTTTAGTCCCTCAATTGTTCCTTGCTAGCGGTTTTAGTCACTAACTTTTTACCGTTGCAATATACACCAGTTGCATTTCTAACTCCTGAAGCAACAAATTATTAAACTCTATTGAAATTTTACTTAATACATGGTTATTTTAAAATTTTATTATCTTTGTTCTTTATAACATTGTCAGTTTTGGTATTTAATCTGCAAAATAGAAAATTAACAACCTTCTTTCTTAATTTTTTTTCCTTTTCAATTGTGGCATATCTTCCCTATTTCCCTACACACCCCAGTTAAAATCATGTTATTTATTTTACAAATGAAATATCGAGACTAAATAAGATTATAATTAAAGAAGAAATATTAAAAAAGTACTAAAATACGCATGTATTAAGTAAAATTTTAATAGAGTTTAATAGTTTTGTTGCTCCAGGGGTTAAAACTGCAACTTTTTTGAAGAGTTAGGGGTGTATATTGCAACAGTAAAAAGTTAGGGACTAAAACAACTAGCAATGAACAATTGATGGACTAAAATTGCATTTTTCCCTAATAAAATTTACTAAAACCATTATTATTTACGAATGTTTTGCATTTTATGTAGTTAGAATAATGCATGAAAAGTTATTGGACAAAAGTGAGCATAAACTCTTGCATTCAAATGGATTAAAAAATAAAAAAAAGAACCTTTTGCCCCTCTATTTTTTTCCGCTCTCAAAACATTTTTCTCCACCAAGATAGAAGAGTGAAACACATTGACTGAGCTTCGTATTTTTAGATCTTTACTAAATTCTGGTTCATTTAAGTGTCGGGGATCATGAATCTGACAATGCTACTATGAATGTTTGAATGAAACCTTACAAATTCTGTTTCAGGATCCGACCGCAATCTCATTAGTAAAATTTTAAATCCCGAGTACTTGGATAAGATATCATATACATTTGGAAACCTTACACAAACCATTCAAGCAAATGGTCCTTGGGCTTCAGCTTGGGTTGGAGAATCTGGTGGCGCCTATAATAGCGGTGGGCATAATGTGTCCAACACCTTTGTCAACAGTTTTTGGTAATTTTCTTTACTATGCTTGAATTTGTATCGAAAATTGGCAACTCAAACACAATTTTGCATTAATATGTGAAATTTTTACATGGATAAGTTATCAACATCTTTATCTGAAATGGAATTTAAGGTATGTAGATCAGCTTGGGATGGCGGCCAAGTACAAGACAAAAGTTTATTGCAGGCAGACATTAATCGGTGGAAACTATGGGCTCCTTGACACAAACACGTTTATCCCGAATCCTGATTATTACAGGTTAGGCGAATTATTTATAAAATTCAAGAATAAGTGGTGCTGCTAAATGAAATGTATAATGAACTTTTTAAGTTGGTTATTGAAAGATTCGGCTGAATTTGGATTACTTACTCATGTTCTGTTCAATTCAGTGCACTTCTATGGCATCGTCTTATGGGAAGAGGAGTGCTTGATGTTAACAGCAATGGATCGCCATATTTACGTTCTTATGCTCACTGCACAAAAGAAAGAGTAAGCACCATGTGTATCTATTTATTTGGTACTAGAATGAGTCACATGGGCTGCCTGGAGACCTATATTTTTTATGAAAAATTTTAATAGAGAATTAGCAGGATGATAAAAACGGTAAGATATTCTACGCCAAAAGCTATAGCTCATAGCAAAGGTTGGTTCTGATACCACTTGGTAAGATCGAGTGCTTGAGTTAATTTCACTTTTGATCCTATGACTATTGGGGTCTTATTAATTTCAATCCACAACTTTCAATTAGTACCTTAACTAATCAATTTTTATCAGGTCACCCCGGCCAAAACGCACCGGAAAATATTAATAGGTAAAATAAAGAGGGTATTTTAGTCTTTTTACTCCTCTTTTCTTTCTTCTTTACAATACCATCATTATTTTACCTATTAATATTTTCCTGTGAGTTTTGGTCGACAATTTGGTCGGAGTGACCAAAATTGAAAAAATTGAATAGTTAAGGTAATAAATTGATGGTTTTGAAAGTCGTGGATTGAAATTAACAAGACTTCAATAGTCATAGGACCAAAAGTGAAATTAACTCTCAAGTGCTTACCATTACGCCAAAAGCTATAGCTCATAGCGAAGGCGCAACTTTATATATATACCGCCACCACATTTTCGAGAGGCAGGGTGCTAGACTTGGCCCTTCACCGACCTCCGCCCAACACTTCCCCTATCCACCGATTGTTGGACTTGACCTTTCCCCGGCCTCCGCCCAACAGAGTTGTAGTGCTTTAGTATATACATTGATGCATATAGGGTGTTCCAATTCTTTTTGAGATTAGATTCATTGCGTTTCTGTATATTTAACTTGCTGCAGTTGTGTTTGTACAGGCGGGTGTCACGCTGCTTCTAATAAACCTAAGCAACCAAACAGAGTTCAGCGTTGGCGTTAAATCCACTACAAGCATCAGCTTGCATGCCAGTGTGAAACCACATCACAAGAAAAGGTCGTTCCTGCACGGTCTAAAGCAAACGGTTTCATGGGTAGGAAGTAAGGCATCGGACGCACCATTGTCACGAGAAGAATACCATCTAACTCCAGAAGACGGGAACCTTCAAAGCAGAAGTGCGCTCCTGAATGGAAGACCATTACAGCTTAGCGAAACTGGAGACATACCGAGTTTCTCACCAGTCCTCCAAGATGTAAGCTCTCCCGTTTCTATTGCCCCCTTGTCCATCAAATTCATTGTATTTCCTAACTTCATTGCTCCAGGTTGCCAGGAGGTTTGACATATATTCTAAGATTCTGAAACGCTTACTAATGTTTTACTTACATGCATTCTGGCATTCTGCAAATGTATTATAGCTTAGCATAGCACCATGTATCACTAGCATCTGTTGCAAATTTTCTTTCCACTTTGGCATATACCTTCAATATGAATAAATGTTCCAAAATCAATACATTTTTTTCCTTCCACAGTTCATTTTTCTATTTGTCTTGTTTAAGTTGGAAGATTTGTACTGGTAGTTATGGAAATGGAGAAAACTCGTCTGTGAACAGGAAAATGAAAATGTGTAGGCTTAGCTCAATGGTTCAATAGGCAGTATTTGAGAGAAGAGACCCAGATTCGAACCTCGCGGCAGCACTATGGAGACTATGCTCAAAGTGGGCAAATCCCTTGTACGCACCGGCATTTGGCTCTGTTTGTTGAGTCATTGAGTCACTATGATTTCAATCCTTTGAAATGCTTTATCGGGTTTGGAGTGTGGGGCCCTTGGGGTTGGGGATTTAACCTTTTGGGAGGAGGGAAACAAATAAATAGAAAGGTAGGAGAAGTGCCAAATTGCCATATTTATTAGCGAAAAGGGCAAACAAGCCATCAAAATGTTCAAATTAGAAAAGGCTTCATTTCAGTATTTGAATTCGAGCAAAAAAGCAATTGACCATTTTTTTCTTTGCAGCTGCATATTATTGATGCATCTTTCACGTTGGACATTTTTTTTTTTACCTATTAATGAATATAAAAATTGGATTTAATAGAAACTTAATAAGTGGAAAAAAAATTGTTTAGGGCGATGAATGTGATTTAGATTGATCAAACGTAATGGGATTACAGAATAGTATATCAGTAATCTACCACTAAAGACTCCTAACTAATAGGCTAGTAGAGTTAGACTTAATCTCCTACCACAAACTAATATACTATAGACATAACAATAATAATAATAATAATAATAATATGAACCGTACTAACACACCCCTTCAAGCACAAGGTGGGTGAAGCACAACATTGAGCTTGTCCCGTAGTAGAGCAAACCTCGGCCCTGGTAGCGGTTTGGTGAGAACATCCGCTAGCTGATCTTTGGTAGAAATAAAGTTAACCAAGAAGTCCCTAGAAGCTACCTTGTCTCGAACGAAATGATAATCAATCTCCACATGTTTCGTCCGAGCATGAAATACCGGATTAGCACACAGATATGTAGCCCCCAAGTTATCACACCACAAAGTAGATGGCTGTCCAGAGTGCAGCCCTAGCTCACGGAGTAGAGATACAATCCACGTGACTTCAACTGAAACATCGGCTAGAGATTTATGCTCGGCTTCAGTAGAGGAGCGGGCCACTGTGCGTTGTTTCCGAGAGAGCCAGGAAACAAGATTAGACCCCAAAAAGACAGCAAACCCACTTGTACTCTTTCTGTCAATAGGGCAACCAGCCCAATCCGAGTCTGAATAAGCATGAATCGCAGTAGTCGAGGACGGTGATAGACGTAACCCATAATCAATAGTTCCCTTGATGTACCGTAACACACGTTTGACCATGGCCCAGTGATCAGTAGTGGGTGAGTGCATAAACTGACAGAGGCAGTTCACCGCATAAGACAGATCAGGTCGTGTAATAGTGAGATACTGCAATGCCCCCACTATACGGCGGTACTGTGTCGGGTTATCAAACGGTTGATCTGACGGAGATACAGCTTGCGTCACAGAAGCTGGTGTTGCTAGTGGCTTGCAATCCAACATCCCAGACCGATTTAATAAGTCAGTCATACAGCGCCGCTGTGACAAAACCATGCCCGAGCCTGACTGTACTGTTTCAATCCCCAAGAAAAAACCTGGTCTTCCGAGGTCCCGAATCTTGAAGGTAGAGGCCAGACGCTGGAGTAAGGAGTTGACCAAGGTAGCGTCGCTTCCCATCATGATTATGTCATCAACATATACTAAAAGATAAACCTGTGACTTAGCAGAGGTGTAGTAGAAGAGTGAAACATCGGTCTTGGACGAAGCAAAGCCGGCCGAAATCAAGTAGTCATGTAGCCGTTTGAACCAAGCCCTCGGAGCCTGTTTAAGGCCGTATAGAGAGCGCTGTAAGAGACAAACATGAACTGGGTGTGCCGGATCTTCATACCCTAGGGGCTGCTTCATATATACTGTTTTAGCTAGATGCCCGTTTAGAAAGGCATTGTGAACATCCAGCTGTCGTAGTGTCCAGTCGTTCGTTACAGCCATAGAAAAAAGAATACGTACTGTGGTTGGTTTGACAACCGGGCTAAAGGTATCAAAAAAATCTTCACCAGCTACTTGATTGAACCCTTTGGCTACGAGTCGGGCTTTGTAGCGCTCGACTGAGCCATCAGCAGTCCGCTTAGTGCGGAAAACCCACTTGCACCCAATGATCTTCATAGTCGGATCAGGTGGAACTAGACGCCAAGTGCTGTTGTGGAGCAGGGCATTGAACTCTTGGTCCATAGCGTCACGCCACTGTGGGTGCCCAACTGCTTAGGAGTAGCACGTCGGATCAGTCGTTGCAGTTAGGGCCTGGAATTCCTCGGTGGTTCATTTCGTCATGTGACGAAGGCGCATGACATGCCCCCTATCTTGAGGTTGAGTCCGTTTAGCTCGTTTACGAGTCCGTGCAGGTGGTGCTGTGGGCTCAATGGCTAACGACAGTGCTTCTTGAGCCAAGGGAATAGGCTCGGCTACCGGGGACACATACCCTATAGGTATAATGGGACAAGAAGCCCACGGAATAGATATCGGTGGAGCAACCGGTTGTTGTGAACCTGTAGCAAAAGGGAAAACAGATTCGTTAAACCGCACATGGCGACAGATATAGACCGAGGAGTGTTCAACACACAAATTGGTATAGACCGAGTGGTGATAGGCCAAGTGGTCATCCCACGAATGGTCAACCAAGAAGGAATAACCAATCAAAGGGTAAACCCAATAACAACCCAAGGTGAAACCATTCACAAAGACGAAGGAATGGTCAATCTAAGGGTAAGCCGAGTCATTACCCGAATGGTCAATATAGCGGGTTCGCAAAACCTAAGAGACTATCTAGAAGGTCAATGAGAGGTGCCGGAACACTTTTTCCTTCCAATGAGGACTAGCTTAAGATCCCTGAACCTATGCCGAAAGCGCAATTCGAAAGGTATCATAGACATAAGCAAACGTTCTATTCTATGGTGTATCGTAACATGCCAAGACTCCATTTTCAAAAACAGTATACACCCAAAAAGCCCCAAAAGTTTCAAAACATCCCTTATGATTATCGAGTCTTTAATGGATATAGAGGACCGAGGATGGGCTTAACGAGCTCTAGGTTCGTGTGGATGCCGAAGCTCACTGCTAATCCGGAAGGACCTAAGAAGGTATGGATACCTAAAACAAATAAATCTTTGATTTTAGGTGAGCAAGATCATTTGGTACGTAGATAGCGGTTGCTCGAGGCATATGACTGGAGATAAATCAAATCTGAGCAACTACTGAGAAGTCAATGATCCAAAGGTGAATTTTGGTGGCGAATCGAGTGGACAAACAAGAGGCGTTGGTGATGTCCAAAGGAATGGACTGACGATTCGTGATGTGTCATACGTAGAAGGTCTGAAATTTAATCTACTCAACACGAGTCAATTCTTAGGGGGAAGGCTAGTTTCGTGGTTTAGCAAGAAGCAAAACTCAATAGCCACGAGTACTGCCGAGGCAGAGTACATCGCATCAGGCAATTGTTGTGCACAAATTTTATGGATGATGAAACAGCTAAAGGATTATGGTGTTATTGCTCGAGAAGTTAGCATTAAGTGTGACAACACGAGTGATATTGCCATCACACATAATCCAGTGCTTCACTCAAAGACCAAACACATTGATATCAAATATCATTTTATTCGAGATCATGTCGAGAAGAAAGATATCATCCCGGAATATGTTCACACGGACAATCAACTGGTAGATATTCTCACCAAGCCTTTAAGTGAAAGTAGATTTTCAACTCTAAGGCACGAGTTGGGAATGATAGAGATGAATTAAGGAAAATTCATCCCATTGACCAAATAAGTGAAAAGTCTTTTTAGTCATCAGCATTTAAAGCTTTCTCGTGAGGAGCACATTGGCATTAATTATGGGAGTTTCAAGAACTTTTAGAGTTTGTGAAATGGACAAGCATTGAATTGTCATTCCAAACGTCTCCAAACATCAATGCATGTGACCAAAAGTACAAGCTCTTCGACTATAAATAAGAGCAAGAGCTAACAAATTCTTGTTTGGAGTTTTTCTTTACAGAAGTTATGGACTCTAAGAAGAACAACATCAAGAATTCAGAGAAGCGTTTCTAGAGGTGACTAGCCGAGCTGAGGAGATGAGAAATTCCAAGACAGCGGAAAACTGCTCTTGGAGGTTATGAAGTTGGAGACTCTTCCAACAATCCTCTCCTCGTGTCTTCGGAAGAGGATAGTAACTACCTAGGAGACGATGGAATTATCATGTATTCATATGATGACGAACTTCCACCTCCATCACAACCTCAACCAGTAGCACCACCGCATCAAGAAGTACCACCTCACTTGTATTACATCCATGCAATCCCAGAAGTGCCCAGTAGTCCGGAGACCGACTCGGACTACATGAGGATCTTTCAAGAGCTCGTGGAGACCATGGAGGATCTCTCACCTCCATCAACACTTGAGGTGACTACACCACCTCTTCGCTCCATTGCATCCAGCAATAAATCCAAGAAAAAGTGATGAATGTTAAAAGTTGTTGCTGTATTTTCCTTTGATGCGTTAATGAATAAATGTTGTGTGTTTGCTATCATATCCAAAACAGCACTAACATATTCAAATCTTCCTTATCAACACACAAAAATTGATCAAAATGAATTAAGGACAAATTCATTAAGTCTTCACTAATTCAAGAGGATAAGCAGATCCTTCGAATACAAACCGAGTCGTCATTACGATTTGAGGAGATAAAAGAAGCCGAAACAAGAATAAAACTCTCAAAAAGCTATGAGATAGTAAAATTGACCGAATGGTTAATTCAAAGTTACTATAGAGTCAAGATGGACAAATGGACAAAAGACTTAACCGAATCACCAAGTTAAAAGAAATGGTTGATCGAATGGATAACGAGGGAGGACAGTAGAGTTGATAGACAACTTGACCAAGTTAATTGGTGAAGAAAAAAAAGACCGAATGGATAAACTTAAACGATTCATGTCAAAGTAGATCGAATGGATATCCAAACAGTTAAATATGAAACTACTTAATCTAAGACCGAGTTGTTGTAACAACTCAAAGTGTTGAAGCTGTTGGAAAGTATAATGGAAAGACTGGCCAAATGATTCGTTAAAAAGGGCAAAGAATGAAATAAAGTTGAGTTGATAGAAGGCGAATCGTTAGAAAATCAATAAATGCTCATTTATGATAAAAGGAATAAGCCTGGTCGAATCGGAACACATTTAAGATTCGAATGATTACAAAGATGAACCGTCTGATCATAACTATAGTATGAAAGCCAAAGGGATAGGGGGAACATGTCACTCATCGAAGCGTCGAAACGGTTAGAGCGCACTAAGCGGGAAAGTCGCTCCCACTCGCGCACGTCTCTGACACGACTGTACAATGAGGAAAAAAAGCACTCATTACTTTCTCTCTCTCATTTAATGCTATGTCGAGTACTCAAGTATCTTTTCTCTCTCCTATTAAATGCCAATTTCACAAATTGGTGATAATTCTCTCACATTAAATCAATCGTACTTATAGACTGAAAAACAACCCTTATTTCCTTTGAAAATTCAAATTCTCAAGGGCATTTAAGACAATTTGTCTGTTTTCCATTAAATCCAAGCCAAGCCAAGCCCAAGACAACCCGACCCAGTATCCAAAGTATAAAACCCCTTTTCAACCAAAGAGTCCCACTTTCCAACCCAAAAGTCCCACTTTTCTTTCTTTCAGCCTAAGGAAATTCCCTAATCTCAAACTCTCTCAAATCCTCTCTCAGCAAACCCCAACTTCTCAAGTTCAAGTCCCACTTTTCTTTCTTTCAGCCTAAGGAAATTCCCTACTCTCAAACTCTCTCAAACCCTCTCTCAGCAAACCCTAACTTCTCAAGTTCTTCAAGCTTTTCATCAATGGCGAACTCTGAAGAATCATCTCACTCATCCACTGCTTCTGAGCAATCCAAACAATCATCAGTTCATTCCGAGCAATCTTTGGAGCCAGTAACAGATTCTCCTATTATTGAGACATTCAAACTGAAGGTCAAGACCGGTTCAATGTTGGACATGAACGGTTTCTTGAAGTACATCGACGACAAGAAGTTGGCGAAGAAGGTTCTGAATTGCATCAAGGATGGAGGACTTTTGAAATACGCAACCTTTGATTTCAAGAAACATCATATGTATGATGCAACAGAGTTTTTCATCAATTCCAGAATCTCCAAGACTGAGGACGCCATTCTCTCACTTTTAATGGCACGAAGCTCACCATAGTTCACGTTGACATCAAGTCTCACTTCGACTTCCCAGTTAGAGAAAATGACCATCCTGACTGTTCTGGACATGTATATGACAATGATGAACTGTGGAAGACGATTCATGGTGAAGACGCTTCTGAAAAGCTCAAGTTCCCAGTGAAGAAGAAGGCCCTCAAGCGGGATTAAGAGCACATTGTCGACATTCTCAGCAAGGTCGTTGAAAGTAAGCTCTCCGACACTAATGATGTGTCCGAAGACAAGTTGAAGACGCTGAGTGCATTCCTTAACAACTACCCAGTTGATTGGTATAGGGTAGTTTATGATTTCCTAAAATAATGTGCTAGGGATGTTATCTCTCACCACCGAATCACCAAAAATGTTGGCTTTGGATTTCTGATTGGCGAGCTATTAAAGTCCAAGGGTGTAAAGCTTCGAGTAGGTTCTAATGCTCACAGGACTCATTACTTCATGAGGATGAAGCCACCAGGGTCACAAAAGAAGAAAGCCACAGCTCTAGCCGCCCCCTCTCCAAGCAACAAGAAGTCGAAGACTTCGATAGCAAAAGCAGCACCATCTACTCCGGTACGGTTGCGAAAGAAGCTTCCACTTCTAAGGCACCAAAAGTACCAACTTCAAAGGCTCTGGCAAAAGGTTCGAAGGAAGCAACTTTGAACGCTCCTACCAAGGACAAGGCCGAGCCATCAAAGAAGCCCTCGAAAAAGAAATCTTATGCACTTGCCCCCACCATCTATTCCAGTTATAGTATCTGAACCCATTGAGGTTCAAGCTCCTATTCCATCTGATGATCTAGCCACCTCTCTGGCTGAAGTTCCAGCTGTGATTCAAGAAGAAGTTCCGGTTGTCCCACCAGCTGATGAAGTTCCAATTTCGGACCAAGTCCGAAGTGTTAACTCTCCTGACTTACCCCTGACTGAGGTGCTTAGCCAAGCCCAGACGCGTAAACGTAAGCAACCTGAGGGCACCTCGAGTCAACCGGTCGAAGAAGCCTAGTCGACACCCGAACCAGCAAAGAAGAAGTCCAAAACTTCTAAGTCCTCAAAGTCTCGAGGGTTTGGAGTTCTAAGGCACATTAGAAGGGTGACCGAGGGGGTGTGCCGCACCAGCAGCCGAGACAGTGCCAACCCAGGGTGAAGACCATTGAGTGGATGTGGCTCGAGAGGATGTTAGGACCGAGCTTACCGCCCTAATGGATCATGAAGAGATTCCTCTAACCGAGGAGATGAGTATTCCGGTTAGGGAAGGCGACAAGTCCCAAGACGTTCCGGACTTCATTCAAACTCCGAACCTCCCACAAGAACCTACCCAAGTAGCAGAGGTGACGAGTGAGAATGTTTCCAACGTGGTAGCCGAGATCGTTCGTGAAGTCGGCGAGGACGCAAATGTTCAAGCCACTGACTTAGTTCAACCAAGAAGTCCAATGAATGTTGATGCCGAACTAGCACATCAAATAGCCAATGAAGACATAATTGAGGCTATTCCTTAAACTTGCGAGGCAGAAAAGCAACAAATCGATGAAATTCTGCTAGCCGAGTTGAGAAGAGTTGTTGAATGGCAGAAGCGGCGCATGTCGAGCCTCGAAGTCATTGTCGAGGGATTAACTCGCATGTGGACGAGGAAGCCTTTGCTCTAGAGTGGATGGGCACCTCTTCCATCTACGCAACCACCAAAGTTAATGAGATAGATCGAGCCTTTCAAGACAAGCTAGCTCATAAAGACCCTGCCAAAGGTAAGGGTAGAGCAGTCGATGACGACGATTCTACTCCCGTTGACCCTAACAAATCTTTCAAAAAACAACTAATGGAAGCCCAACGTTTGGCTCGTTTTGAAGCTGAGTTCATTGATCCCAATCCTCTCGTTGGCCCAAGCAACCGAGATGATCCAGTTGAGGAGACCGGACATGAAACAACTCGAACTGAAGTTGACACTATGGTGGACGAAGTGGTTCACACTTTTGTTGCGAAGGCCGAGCCCACAAATGATCAACCAAATGTTCTTGAGGCGGAGGACGCAACACCACCTGTTTGTTGGAGGTCATCGGTTCAATCTATTGTAGTTTTATCTACAATTGAAGCAGAATACATGGTTGTGACTGAGGCAGCTAAGGAGGCTTTGTGGCTTTCATGCTTGATTAAAGAATTGGATATTGAGCAATGTGGAGTTTAGTTACATTGTGACAGTTGAGTGTCATCTTTTTGGCCAAAATCAAGTATATCATGCCACAAACAAACATGTTGATGTAAGGCTCTATAAGGTTAGAGAGTTGGGTGTTTCTAATGAGATATTATTGCAAGAAATTCATACAGTTGAGAATCCAGCAAACATGTTGAAAAAGGCCGTTACTAGTGACAAGTTCAAACATTATTTGGATTTGTGGGTGTTTCCAGATACTAGATGAACATAGTTACCCTGACCCATGTATATATGTGAGATATGTTTTTTCTCCTAAAGGACATATTTGCTAATGTAGAGATTTGTTGAGTATGTCTCATATATGGTAGGAGCAAAGCGGAGTAGGTTGGGCCCATGGCACATGGGTATTTTTGTACATGTACATGTCTAGAAATACCTATAAATACATTATTTGTATCTCTAAGTTTTATCACCATCACAATTACTAAGAAAATAGTTTCGCTGCCATGTCTGTATGCACATTACCAAACCACAAAAATCTTGTCTTCTTTACTTCCTATCATTGTTATTGTTTCTCTTTCTCGTTCTCGTTAATCTCAATAATCAGCATTGTTAATGTACACAAACAATGAACGTTACTACGTTAGCCTTGTTTTGTAAAGCTGAAGAAGTTTTGCAAAGAAATAGAGGAATCAATATGAACTCATCCAATCCAGAATCATGACATATTGACATGTACATACACGCAAACCACATACACAAACTCATTGTAGTACAATGAACAGAATACACAAAACATACTTGATAGAGGCTAGAGTTTTCATTTGATATGGGACCAACTTCAATAGTTCAATGAATAAAAACATCAGTAAAATTCCTATGAATAACAATAATGCGCATCAAGGAGTATGGTACCAACAACGAATGAACGGTTATTCTCTAAGCTCTGCTCTACTATAGAAAGGGAGCCAAACATGGTTTAGGAACAACAAAAAGTCATCAAGTTGATCCTGAACAGATGCTACTTCCTCCCAAGCAAATGGCGGCCTCGCATATTAGCACCTCTCACTCTGTAGTTGAGCTCATCAATATCATTGTCGAGATGATCCAAGGCCGAATTACTCCTGCATTGTCCATGACCATTTCCCATGAGCACATAGTAACAAGTAACTACAATTCTTTTCCCCTTTTTTTTGGGGAACGGGTGCCCTTGACTACTTAGGTCAAGGTAAAAGAAATGTACACAAGTAAAGCTAAAAGCCTTGCTCTTGTAAGTTGTAATAGACTTATCATCACTAATTCATGGAGACACATTACAAATGTACATGGAGAAAAGAATAAAGACATTGACAAAGGACACGTGAAGAAAGGATTAGGGGACCAATAGAACAACGTACCTATCAATTTCAGACCCCATGTCCATTGCCATTTCCTTGAGCTCCCCCAAGAGATTACTAAGATCAGACAGGGCATCATCTTGCTTTGCCTTTTCCACCTGTTAAAATGTCAGTAGAAGAATAAGATTAGCTGCTATATTCACAAGTGCATCTATTTATAAGAAAAATATACCCACTAGACAGGCTTGACTTCACACAACAATATGTAACATAACTAACAGTACCAAATTGCATGTAAATGAGTCTGAATTGCACCAGAACAAAATTACCAGGCGTTAAGATCATAAGAATAAAGACAACCATGTCAAAACGGGGATTAACATCATTTTTTATATATATATAATTTTTTTGGGGTGGGGTAACACGAGGAAGAGGAAAACAAGGAGCAACTCAAACAGTCATGACAATTTGATAAAGAGGAAATGAACTGGAGTTTAATCTTGAGTCTTGACCTGTAATTACAACCAAGCTGTCTAGTAAAATGGAGCAATGATTAATAATCCCAATCATGATCTAAACAAACTGATTGAGGAGGGAGCAGACAAATTGCTAATCCCAAACATATTTGATATGTGACCTAAATATGCTCAGATCAATGAAAGAAATAATAATTAACAAATGAGCCATGTCCTCAAGGTCACAATGCTATACCTCAACTTTCTGCAATGCATTAGTTGGTTCAGGGAGTGGTCTTCGTGCATTTGACTGCCCTTTGGTTGCAGAATTCAATCCAAGTTTCTCCCTCTGCTCCAAGTGGTTACCTCTCCTTGGTACTGGATCATCTGTAACATCAAAAACTAGTCAGACAAATTGCACAGACAACTGTTCAATCACCCAACCTACTTCTACATCCCAAAAGGCAAAAGCAATCATTTTTACTGGTCTATAATATCACTTTTTTTTGTGAAGGAGATTAAGAACTAACCTTTAGTGATGATAGGCCCTGTTATTGGACGATTCTTCTTAGGCTTCCAAGTCTTGGAAAATAAGCCCCCAAGACTGCCCAAAAGTTTTTCACCCTAAAATTAATACAAAACTTCAGTCAGCTATCCAATATCAAGAGCCACAATCCAAAAGCAAACAAGTCACTATTTCAAACAAAAACATAACATTTTATTAGGCAGAAAACTCAAGGAAACAGAGATTTGAAGACAGTAAAAGGAATGCAGGCCATGGGAATTAAAATATGCTCCCTCCGTCCCACTTTATGTGTTTGGTTCAGTTAACGAGGCTTGACTGAAATTCTTTTTAATTCAATTTTTCATATTGTTAAGTTTAGTATTAGTATATAAAATTTATATATTAGAAACTAGTCAAACTACATTAAAATACTATTAAACACAAAAAATTAAATATTAAAATAATTTAAAATTACTAAAGAAAATAAGCAAAGAAGAAAGATTTGGTTTGACCAATGAATAGTAAATAGTATAGGTAAAATGGGGCAAAGGGAGTACATAATTAAGATCCTGCAAGCATGACCTAGCAATTTGGTAAATGTCAATTAGAGCATTCCAAGAGTGCAATATTTTTATCAAGTACAGCATCTCCATGTATGACAACCAAATAATCAATGAATGAAACCATTTTATCACCCAAATAATTTGATATCAAATAAAAATAAAAAATAAAATAAAAACTAACTTTCTATCAGTTCAATTTCACTTTAGGGCCTACACTAAACAAGTAAATGAAGGGAAAATTTTAGCTATGCATAAAACATCAGAACCTTGACCATTAACTGGATCATGCATCAATAATAATAGCAAGAACACAACAGATTCATCAACTTCAACAATACTTGTATATGGAATTTGTGACAGAATCATGTTTACTTGTGGGTTCAAAATTACACCTAAAATGGAAATAACTTCAGAATTACTTTGTTCCTTCACAAAACAAAGGAAAAAACAGAGGCAGCCAAATTAAGAAAATCTGCTGGAGTTAGACTTAGATATTTAGTATTACTTGCTAGCTAGAACACCAGTGAACATGTGAGGAAGGCAGTAAAGCATTTTCTCAGTTAATGTTTTCAGAAAGAGACCTAATTCTTATATTGGAAGAAGGATCCCTTTAATGGTCACCTTGGGGAAAAGGATCAATACATGATTCAATGCAGGCAGTAAATTTTTTTAGCATCTTTAAGCTAACACTGAGAATGAGACAAGTTTAAAATCATCAAGTTTCTCAACAGATTGGAATAATAGCACTCATTGAGTTTATGGAGCCATACCCTGCTAAGATCATAGTCAATGTCAGCAGCAGTCATGTGAGTTCTAGTAATTTGCTCACTCTGGTGATGTAGGGTGATTAATGTTTTAGTGGCATCCTCTCTTATCTCTTCAGCAATCTTCAAACAGCCATTTACTGATTTTGTAGTCTCTTCAGCTTTATACACAGCATAATTTTCCAATTCTTGTACAGATTGATTCTCCAATCCTCCTGAATCATGGAAACCATTCTTGTATCTGTTTCTGTCTGCTGAAGTGAAGGAGTATGCTGATGAGGATTTCCCCACTTTAGTCTCATCATCATCAAAGGGGTTAGTGCTCAAATTTGGAGCAACTAGAGCAGGCTCTGAAGAACTCCTTGAGGCTTTGACAGTTTGCTTCTTATCATACTCATCATCAGAATCAAAAGGGTTTGAATTAGAATAGGTATGAAATCCAGGATCAACTGAGTGGTTTCTAGTATTCTTGTTCAAGGGGGACAACTTCTTAAGACCAAACATTTTGAGTCACAAAACTTTGCAGGATGAAATCAGGATGTCAGAAGGATCAACTGCTACAGCCACAGAAAAGAATATATCTGTACAAAATACACAAACAAACAAGACCAAACTAAGATTATTCAGGGCTATATTCATTACCAGAACCAACTATGAAGATCATGTCCTCTAAAATGTTTCATGAAATCCACAGGGTAACAATCACAAGAAAGCTGGCAGTAAAATGATAAATCGAAAAAGATGATAATTACTTGGGACTCATAACTGTAAAAACAGTTAGAAACATTAGAAAGTTATTGGAAGCATATAATACAGTCTTTTCCTAGCCTGTCAATAATAAAAAAAGAGAAAATTTAATAATTTAATCTGCACTTTTTAAAACCTTTTTGACAATATTAAGTTCTACCCTTTGAATTAGACAAAAGCATACATATAGATACAAACAGGAAAACATGGATTGTCCTTTGTTCCACCTGCCCCAATCTCCAGCACACCCTAGGCAGCAGGACCCCTGAGCCCAAACTGCCAAAAACTCACACCAGCAATCTGTTCTTCAAGACCAACAAACAAATTCAAGGACTAAATATTATCTCTGCTATTCCTTCTGATTTCTACAAATTCAAAAACCCCGTAACGAACTGATGCCCAAGTCACACATCCCATCTTCAATTCAACTCAACTAAACCTAAATCCTAATTCCACCAACAGTATAGATTCTATTAATCCATTCAACTAGACACTCTTATACACACAAAAGTTAACAGAACAAGAAAATAAAAACAAGAACTGGGTGGTTGTAAATGAATCTGATTGATTAAACACGAAAAACCACTGCAAAGATATGACTACCTTCAAGGAAATACTTCAAAATCGACACAAATAAATGAAGAATGTAATAAACCCAGGGGAAAAAAAAAACACTAACAAAACAAATCAGACATATTACCCCGAGAATCCAAAGGCGCGGTGTCAAGATTTAACGCACGCTTTCCAAGAAAGCCGATCTACACTGGAGACAGAAAAAAGAAGAAATCTAGAAAGAGCTTGAATGCTGAAATTGAAGGTGGTATATTTGTACTTGTGTGCATATATACAGAATTATAAGTGAATGATAAGCGTGTAGTGTAGTTTCAATATTGGAAAATGGAAATGGAAAGAGTTGAAAGGATCAAATGAAGGAGCGGAGGGAGGAGCGCGTGGAGACTGGAGATGGAGTTTTGAATTTAAGGCAGGCAGGCAGCCTCTTCTGACGAAAATTAGACCGTTTCCATATGCCGCCGTATAATATGCGACGATGGCACTGTTCCCTTTCTAGATTTTATTATAATACGGAGTATAAAATAATGCACTTTATACTTAATTATTAAGTGTCTATGGTTTATTTAATTTGACTATATATAACTTACTAGTTTTACACGCACATTGCACGAATGAGTTAATGTATATAATTAAATAAATATTTGAAAGTATATTCATATAAAATTATATATGAAAAGTTCATACATAAGTAATTTAATGTTGAATTTGTTTATTTAAATATGTAACTCATAGTATATGAATACAATGTAATATAGGAGATTTATTATAGTTGTTACTGAACTTTTCTTTTAAATAGTAACAAAGTATTTTTGTTAAGGGTTCTAATATATTTAATTAATGCACGTATATATTTAAAACACAACTTTATAAAACTTTCAATTATAGTACAAGCTGAGTAGTATGTATATATTGATGTGGTAAATACGGCACTTTCTACAAATACATATAAGTATTGAGGTCGGACCAAATTCAGGTTATTCTCTAGTCTGCTATTAGTTTAAGTCTTGAACTCGGGAAATGACGTAAGGTTATAGGATCTCGAGCTGTATAGTTGTCGGTGAAAAATCTCCCAAAAGTCCAACTCTCTTGTATTTAATGTACTATTTATATGAGGTGCGAGAGAACACATGTCGGTCTCTTGGTATGTGCACGTGGAGCGCATGCACAGGTGAAGGTCGGAGGCTTCGCTGGTTTCTCTACATGTCTCAAGATTCCTGACTCTCTCGGAGTTACTGTGCTTGTGATACAACCACGGGAGCTGTTGTACTACTACTACTACTACTACTACTATTATTATTATTATTATTATTATTATTATTATTATTATTATTATATTATTATTATTATTAGTTATATATATATATAGGATCATAGAAACTACCCACTACCCCTGTACCCCACTACTTGTATAACTACCCACTATTTATGAATGTCTGGAGACATTTGGGAGTTAGACTATCACTTGAAGTATAGTCATTGGGAGTATGGCTGCCACTCGAAGCACAGCTATGGAGTTTGGCTCTTGACTCGAAGAAGAGCAACCCATACAACCTTAGGGTTGTATCAATTGGTGCTCTCGTTGAGAGTATCCGTCCAGAAATATTATTTTTGGGACGAAACAAAAAAATCCATCTACTGATCTATCCGATGCAGCACAACTGATAGAGCCCGGATCTCCACTATGAAGGACGAACTGTTCAAGCTGCATATGCTCCCCTATGAAGATTTGCAAATTGCTATTGTGCTTTGCAAGGAACTAGAAGAATGAAATTGCTCATAATAATTCCTTTGATAGGAATTATTATATTATCAATAGAGCCACGGAGAGCATAAACAATGCGTCCTAACCACATTTGAACAATTCATTTCATTGCAGTATTTCTCCCCGTCTGATCTGCATGGTGTTGTTGTTGCTAACAACTCTTGGCTTGAAGAACCAGAGAATATATACAATGAAGCATCCAGTTGAATACAATATTACTCATCAAGTCAAGTTCAGTGGTCCTTGCATGTTCAACATTCAAATAATTACCACCTTGAGGACAAGGTGGTTTTCATGGGCGGGAAAATGATACAACCACGGGAGCTGCTGTACTACTACTATTATTATTATTATTATTATTATTATTATTATTATTATTATTATTATTAGTTATTTAGTTTATAGTGGAATAGTGGGTAGTTATACAAGTAGTGGGGTACAGGAGTAGTGGGTGGTTTTATGGTCCTGTATATATACCTACTTATGTATCTGAAGAATAGGAATGAAGAATATATTTATGAATGTCTGGAGACATTTTGGGAGTTAGACTATCACTCGAAGTATAGTCAATGGGAGTTCGGCTGTCACTCGAAACACAACCATGGAGTTTGGCTCTTGACTCGAAGAAGAGCAACCCATACAACCTCAGGGTTGTATCAATTGGTGCTTTCATTGAGAGTATCAACCTGGAAAAATTATTTTCAGGCTTGCGAAAAAAAAAAAGAAAGAAAAACCATAAACGGAGTAACACTTATTGAGTCGTGGATTTGCATAGCAGCTTCAAGAAGATAGCAAGTTCCATACAGTTTCCACACCAATTCAGTATCACTCGTGCTCTCTTGCAAATCCCACAATTACATTGGAGTACCTAGCAGAGCATGTTTTGCTACAACTTCGGTCGACTCTTGCAGGGCAACATGAACATAAAATGGAGGAATTGAAGCTAGGTGGCCATAATTTACGTACATCACGTTGGGTACTGAAGAGAGTTATTCAAGCTTTTGGAGCTATTTCTGATTAATTATCACCTTGAGAACAAGGTGATTTTGATGGGCATGACAATGATACAATCAACCATTGTTTACCATCACCTTGAGGACAAGGTGATTTTGTGGGGCATGGAAATGATACAACCAGCTGCAATACTATTATTATTAGTATTATTATTATTATTATTATTATTATTAGTGGTTTAGTTTATAGTGGAATAATGAGTAGTTAGTTATACATGTAATGGGGTAGTGGATAGTTAAAGGGGTGGTGGGTAGTTTTATTATCAGTATAAATAGCTACATGTGTATTTGAAGAATATCAATGAAGAATATATTTATGAATGTCTGGAGACATTTGGGAGTTAGACTATCACTCGAAGTATAGTCATTGGGAGTATGGCTGCCACTCGAAGCACAGCCATGGAGTTTGGCTCTTGACTCGAAGAAGAGCAACCCATACAACCTCAGGGTTGTATCAGCTTGGCTAAAGGGGCGCGGTTTGAGGCTCCACGTTGCGCAGGTCGGGTATGTAGAAGGTCCCGACCTAATATGACCGGAGGTGAAAATGTGGAATAATGAAGTCTAAGCACGGCTGGCGAGCTAATCCATCCTCAGTTCGACAATCGAGGTCAAGTCAATGGACTGTGTGCTCGGTAATGCTTGGCAACGACGGCTTCACTCAATGGGACGTTTCGATACGAAGCACGAATATGATACAATACGGTCAGCGTATAATCTCTATCATATATGTTACATTTTCAACTCGTCAACATGTTCGACTTATAAGATAAATGGATAATTACAAACGAGAACTATTTCCAAACACAACAAATGCATTTTTCATGCAAACAACCAATGACACTTCCTAGAAACTTCAAAGGAATTACTTACAAAATCAAACTATTAATTCTTAACCGCTAAGTTTATAAATTATTAGAAATTGTTTAGTACTCCGTATTAGTTTAAAGGGAAATTTTACAATAACTTGTGCTTTGCAGAATTATATTTTCGTACAGAATAAGACAACTTTAAAGCACATGGTACAATTTATTAATGAAATAGACGATATTATTGTATGTTATTTTAAAATTTAGGGTGTGTTTGGTTGGTGAGTTTTGTCCATAGGAATGAGTATGAAAGTGATTGTTGTTGTTTGGTTGATAGGTTTTTAGAACACTACTATGGGTTTCGAATACTCCATCAATTGAAAAACCCATACCCAAATACAATAACAGCAGGTTTGGTTCACGGAATGAATTTTGAGGTAATAGGAATGCTATTCCATAAGGAATGGAATAGGCAAGGAATAGAATAGGAATTGTATTCTGTTGTTTGGTTCGCGGAAGGAATAGACTTTAGGAATTATATTACAGTGTTCGGTTGATTTAAGGAATAGAAATGAAATATGTTTTAAAGACATAAATACCCTTATAAAAATATGTGATGGTGCCGATGGTGGTGGTGGTGGTGGTGGTGGTGGTGGCGGTGGTGGTGATGGTGGTGGTGGTGGTGCTGGGGTGGTAGTGGTGGTGGTGGCGATGGCAATGGTGGGGGCGACGGTGGTGGTGCTGACGGTTGTGGTAGTGGTGGTGGGGGCGGCGACGGTTGTGGCGGTGGCGGTGGTGGCGGTGGCGGTGGCAGTGGTGACGGTTGTGGTAGTGGTGGTGGGGGCGGCGACGGTTGTGCCGGTGGTGGCGACGGTTGTGGCGGTGGTGGTGGTGGCGGCGGTGGTGCTGCTGGGTGATGGTTTTGGTGGCGGTGGTGGTGGCGGCGACGGTTGTGGCGGTGGTGGTGGTGGTGGTGCTGGGTGGTGGTTCTGGTGGCGGCGATGATGGTGGCGGTGGTGGTGATCGTGGTGGTGGCGGTGTTGATGCTGGGTTGGTAGTGGTGGTGGTGGCGGTTGTGGCAGTGGTGGGGCGGCGGCGGCGGCGATGGTGATGGTGGTGGCGGCGGCGGTGATGGTGGTGGTGGTGAAATAGGATAAATTTATATATAGGATAAAAAAAATTAGGTTAAAGAAATGGGTAAAAAAGGAAATAGATTCTAAAATATATTCCTGAGCATTCAGTAATAGGCTAATACAAGGGGGGCCCTAGTAATAGCTATTACCTTATTTGAGGTAATAGGCTATTACCGGGAATATTATTCCTGGTAATAGAAATGGTTACTAAACAAAGGAATAGGCCTATTACTGGGAATGCTATGCCATTCCCGGCCTATTCCGTGAACCAAACGGGCCATAAGGGTTTCATTCCCTTATTCATTCTCAACCACTACTATTAGTAATCATTCCTATTCCACCTTACTACCAAACATGTTAAATACTTTTACCAAAACTCATTACCATTACCAAGTATTTAATTGATACTCATTCCGATTTCGATTCCTATATGCGAACCAAACACACCCTAATTAGCTTCAAAGGAAATGATTATTCTATACTCAGTCTTTAAATTACTATTCTATCAATTCTTTTTTTTCCTTTTGTTATTTGTGAAGACTGAAGAGTGTCAGTTTTAACCATGCACTAATGGAATGCACCATATTCAACAGAAAATATTAGGCTGTCCTCAACCTACAATACGATAGATTTGCAAGATGATGTAGAAATTACACAAAGCATTATTTATTTTGTTTGTACCTCCACGTAATTAGCAAATTTTCTATTGCTGTTAAAAT